AACAAGGACGCGTTATGATGTACTATGTAAGCTAATTGACATTCTCCCATCTTCAGCTTAGAACTTATTTTGTTCTTTTTCCGCATAGTTACGATTAGGCTTCTTTTAGTATTGGGCGTGTTTGATATAACTGACATTTATTCTATATTATTTTATATATTATATTGATTTTTTACTTTTGTCTTTTTTAAAAATCTCCTTTTAAATAAAAACAACTCTGGAAACTTTCTGCGAATATTTGAAAGCAAATTTTTTTCTCATTGTCCTGATTTGACACGACATTGTCCTGATTTGGTACGTAATCGTTCATAGAGATGTGTTTTTTAGTAAAAAATTTATGTACTATACCAGTGCATATATAATATATTATTATATTATATATTATATGTGGTTGCATTTTTTTAAAAGGGAAACCTTTTACTGTTTTGGGTATATTTTTTGTTGTATGTGTACCTACTTACTATATAATACTTCATAAATATAAAAATATTGTGCTTTTACATATATTTATTTCCTTCTTTATTTTCTGTTTTCTATTCCACATTTTGTGTTGGTCCTTACGTTACGTCTAATGTCACTAACTGCTTTTAAGAAGTTTTGTTTGGTATGGTTACTGACTTCTAAGGTCTATGTGTAGTTTCAAATAGCTAGTTCTACATACCTAAGCGTTGTAATTGCCATTTTATCCATTATTATTTAAAAGTTTTGATTTCAGTATGGATGAATAGATGGTGCCTCAAGGATTTATCGAATTAGCTAATAAATACAAACATTTTTGTAAAAATCCTTATTTTTATTTTTTCCTTATTTTCAAACTCTTTCTAACAACAAATAATATAAATTCGGCTAAATTACTTTAGAAGAATTTATATTATAACTTTGTTACTTGTTTACTCTTTGCTTATTTCTAATATATTTTAAAATAATTTGTAGTGTTCTTTTAATACTCTATTCTCATTTCTAGATTTTTTTTCGAATAATTTGTACTATATATACCTATATAATATATTCAAAAACAAAAAAAAAAAGTTCTGCTCTTAAAATATCAAAAAAAAACTCTCCTAAATTTTTTAATACAAGAATACATATAACATGTACAGATGAAATGAAATCACACTCAATTACTCCAAATAATATCCGATGTATGTATAGTACATTTCACTTGTTACTAACATAACTTAAGATGTATTCATAAGAAGCTGCTCGAGAATAATGTTGCTTCAATTAACAGTTTCTGTAATTTAGTAGACTTGAACTTATGACCTTAATTAGGATGTTAAAGTGCAGCTATCCTACATATCAAAACATATTTTCATGTACATAAATTATATCCTGAAAGTATATATAAAGTATATAGTGTGCGATAACAACATTCAATCAAATTTCAAATAACAAATTACGAACAAACTTCCAGGACAAATCACATACAATCACTCAAATGACCTTTGATGTGGAGTAGGTTTCATGCACAACTGAAACTGATTAATTGCCATACTTTCCATTGACGACTGCAGTCATATCGATTTGGGGAAGTTTATTAATGTTCCGCCAGAGGTAGATTCACAAGATGTGCTAATAAATTTCATTCCAAGCACTTTCACCAGAGTAACAGAATTAGGCAAAGGTTGTTGCCTAGTGAAATTCTTTGATTAAATTAAGTGAAATAAGAGAAAATACAAACAAAAATACAATCAAAAGTAAAAAGACCATAAAATGTAAAAAACTTTTTGAAAGAAAAAATGATTTATGAAATACAAAACCATTTAAGCGCGAAGACACAGCATGACGTGGAAAGACATAAAAGTCAAATAGAAGACAAAACAAATCGATCAATTATACAAACAAGAAACAAAATAAGAATGGAGAAAAATGATAAAAACAAATGAAGTCAGAAAAATCGTATTTTATTGGCTAAAACAACAGCAAAAAGGCTCATAAATGATGACTTTCAAACACACTATATACCTGAATACTACTACTTATCAGAAAAGAACATTTAATATATAACTTTGAGGTGTAATCTCATAGCAAGTCAATTTCATTGTCGAACTAAGAAATGTCATTTGAAATCTAAAATGTCAGTATCTTCAGATAAGTCTGTAGAGGAGCTAAAACTAGGTATGTTTCGATATACAATAGCTAACAAAAACGTTTTGGCTCGGTGAGAACAGAAACCTATATTGGTCCAAAATTTTTAAATCTAATTATATAAAAACATACTAGTCTGCCTTGAGATTTCATTTGGCGATCCAGGAACTTCAGAAATATAGTATCAGTATAATATATAATAATATATCAGTATAATATATACTAATATATATATATATCAGTATAATATATCGCTATTCATCTACAGTAAATCATTTTTAAATCTACAGATTTACATGGAAGAAACATATTAAAGCGGATTGAAAAAGGAATTAATAAAAACGAAGCTAATAAATTAATTATAACGTGCCCAAACAGATTGAAACACAAACCTTGAAACACAAAGCTTGACAAAGAATAATGGTGTTCAATTATGGGGCAAAGGAAGCAATTTTAACGTTAATCTCAACTTTACCAGTCAAAAACGTAGCGACATATAGATAATGCTTATAGACAAATGTCCCAAAGGCTCAGAATGAAAGGTAAGCAAATACTTGCTCTAAAGAAATTCAGGTACGAAAACTATATTGCATTCCTGATACTTGCATTCTTTTTCAGGTCAATATACGCTATCAAAATAGAAGCAAGGGCAAAGTAAAATAGTCAAATATGTAGTACAATTTGTCTTTTAGGAATAAAAGCAATCGAATTCGAAACGGTATGACTATGTCAGCTGGTTACTTTTTTGAGGATTTTGCCCAGCTATAGGACCTCTTTAAAAAGCATTTTATGGTTAGTCAAAGGTTTAAAATGGATTTTAAATAAATAAATTTTTAGATCGTAAAAAAATAATCCTAAATGTATCCTTAAGATCGCCTATATAAACTACCCTAACTTAAAGCGGTAAAATTGTGGGTAGTACAGTGTATATAATATATTTTAATATATTATAATGTCTCCTTTTGTTGGGTTTTTGGATGCAGGAATATTGAAGGAAATATGAGAGTAGATGAGATAGCCAAGAGTTATTCTTAAATTCATATGGTGCTGATATCTCGGTACTGATCTCTATGTGTCAACTTTTTAGTAACATAGTTGAGTTCACCATTGAGGTCATACATAATTTGTGAACTAATCGTGAAGACTGTGAACTTGCCCGAATCTTATGGTTTAGGTTCGAATAGAATAAAATGAAAATAGTTTCAACAAACTAGAAGTTCGTATTATTACAAAACTACTAAAGTAACATCATATGATGCTAACACTGTTGCTTCAACAGTGGCATGCGAAAAAAAGCATCCATCACTTTCTATAACTTTTTCCAAAACAGCAGATGGAGCGACTTTAAAATCCTTGTGTAGTCCCTTTAGGGGTGGTCGAACGGCACTTGGTCGTCTTTGACTAGTGACGAGTTGTCTGCTTTCAGGTCCCGGCGGGTTACAACAACAACAACAACTTTAAAATCCTCAAGACCATTTCTTCCTTGGTTATTTCTGCCAGAAAGCCAGCGTCAACTTATCGGCTCTCTTTAGCTTTAATTGGAAGAGTATAGAAGTTATTATTATACGCTTTTATTTATTGAATAGTTCTGTGATTGCTGGAATATCATTCCCATCAATTGTTCAATTTTCTTTTAATATGAATGTCCTTTTAAGTATCAGCACTGATTTCCGTTTTTATTTACTCTGACTAGTAATTTAATTTCTAAGTTTCGATGTATGTAGGGTATTATAACTTGCTAAACAATATGTGCAAATATTATTTGTTATAGCAAACAAGAGAAAATCTATCAAAACAAACTCAAGTTAACTAACATTAGAAACGTCTATGGTTGGTAGTCAGTTAAACAAAACAAAATCGGCACTAAGAGAAATTGCCCATTTGCTTCGAGGCATCAAAGTGGCATGTTCAACAAATAATAGCATCGAACATAAGTAATTTACTAAAAATAACAGCACATGAATATCAGATTAATGGACTATTTCATACATAAAACATTTTGAAGACCTGCATTTGAAGGACTGAACAGTTACTGCTGAGATTTGGTGAAGAACTTTTTAAGGTCTCATAAAAATTAATGGAAACTATTTATTTGAAAACTTTCTTAACACTTCATTGGACTTTTGGTAAACAGATACAGTAAAATATGCTAAAGACACTCAAAGCAATTTCAATTTAATACGAATTTATTAAATAATAAGAATTTTTCTGATTGTTCCAATGAGGGAACTAATAGTTGCTAATATGGACTTTTTATACTGACTCTTGGATTTATTATAAATAAAATTTTGTTTTGGAAAAATATATGGTAAAGTGAAAAAAATAGAAATAATTCTTTTAATGGCAGCAATAAAATAGATACAGATGGTTTGTATTATAAGAGTGTATACTATATTAATGTCTACATAGATAGTTTCGAAGTTCACGGAAACTGCAATCTTACATACTTAATACTTTTTGTAAATATTGTGAACCCATTGCTTCTGTCCATATCACAATTATGAATAAATAGAGAATGTATATGACAATGTTATCCTTATAGAAGCCATTATCTGATAATTACTTTAAGTAAGATATTCTTTAAGATATTCTTATGTATCTAACTCACTTAATTAAAAAACAATAATTGTGTAAAATCCAAAAAATTGCAAATAGAATTTGATGTTAATCTGCACTAATTATTTAACTTGCAATGTGTTTTAAGTATAAGATGTTCTTAAACTGTCGAAACATTAGATCCATGATTCGGTAACGCATTTTCATAATACTTTGAAATTTTGCAGAGGCCTTAGGTTCGGTTTGGTTGGAGTGACGGCGTTGTGCCCAAAACTCACTCCAGCTCAAATAATAGGCCGTTGTGATATCATGAAAACAATATTAATTAAAAATGTTTAAAAAAAATACTGGAATACCAACTTTTTCCAAACATGAAAACATTTACAAAGTTCAAAGAACATCTGATTTCGGAAGCTAAATACCCATATGTACGCTTTAACCTGAGAACTTGATATAACGGTTGATATACTTGCATAAAAAAATCAGACTAACAAACTAGAATGAGCAGGTATTCTTTTATTATTATTGAGAGGGGACTGCGATCATTGTGTCTATTGTCTTAGAGTAAGTCTCTAAGTCTTGTTGCGTGGATAAAAAGTAGTATAGAACCTGCTTTACAGAGTTTTATTGCCTCTTTCGTAAGGATATTCATAACCAGGAGCTAGTAGGTATTCTAACTCAGTTTGAAAATGATTTAATTTCATATTTTTGTCCTTTTAATTACTCCCGATTATGTAAGATTTGAGCAATAACTTTATAAGCTACATTTAGTAAAGTTATGCCTCTCCAGTTGGAGCATTCCATCAGGTTACCTTTCTTTGGTATATTAATAATGATGCCGTCTTTAAGATTAGGCGGTAATGACTCTTGGGACCAGAAGTTGTTGACAATTGGTTGAATAATTTGAGCAGCTGAAATTTTGTCTACTTTGAGCAGTTCGGGGGCAATATTGTCCGGACCAGCGGACTTACCTGCTTTAAGCTGAGTTATTGCTGCCTCAATTTCACTGATGTTAGGTACATCTGTGTTTATATCGTTGCGAGCAAAATGTTCGTGGTGTCTACTACATAGTTCCTGCTGAGGATAGGTGTTGTTTCCCGCTAGGAGATTTCTGTAGTGATCTTCCCAAACTTTTAGCTGATCTTCGGTAGAGTGTACTAGTTCGCCTCTGGTATTTTTTATTGGCTTTGCAATCCTGTGTTTACGTCCCACCATAGCTTTAGTGATGTTGTGTAGGTCTTTGAGCCTATGTGATTCGCTTGCTTTTTGAGCTTCTGTTGCTAAATTGTTGAGCCATCTGCGCTTATCGGTTCTAGCGCTGCGTTTAACTTTGCGGTTGGCAATACTGTAGTTGGCTTGTGCCTGCTGCTTTGTTTGGCGCGTTCTTGCCCTGTTAACCTTTTCTTTTTCTCCTTTGCGCGCTTTTATAAGATTCCATGTATGTTCGGTGATCCACGGATTATTTTGACGTTGAGGAATACCGACACTTTGTTGTGCTGCTTCAGTGAAGGCACATTTTGCTTGTTCCCAATAAGTTTCGGCTTCAAAGATTTCTTCTTCTAGTGGCAAGGGATTAGGGATTTGGGCCGATAAAAGAGATTGATAGTTATTTTGAACAGTAGGGTTGTCGAGTTTGGCGAGGTCGAACCGTTTCCTTTTGAATTGTGGCTTTCTAAGGACCGCATTTAATTTGAGTTGTATTTCACCGATTAGTAGATGGTGGTCAGAAGCCATGTCTGCACTTCTTTTATTTCTGACATCACATAATGAATGTCTCCACATTTTGCTGATGGCAATGTGGTCGATTTGATTTTCTGTTGCATTATCTGGGGAAACCCAAGTGACTTTATGCAAATGTTTGTGCGGGAAGAGACTACCTCCTATGGTGAGGCCCATGGTGTTACATAATTCATAGAAACGCTCCCCATTATCGTTCATTGTGCCGAGAGCATGTTTACCCATCACTTGCTTTCTTCCATTGTTATCTGGCCCGATTTGTGCGTTGAAATCTCCCATGACGAGCTTTATTTCACCTCTAGGGCATTTATTTAAAACAGAGTATAGGGAGTCATAAAAATTTTCCTTGATTTGTGGGTCGGTGACTTCAGTAGGCGCGTAACACTGTATGCATGTGAGGGTTCTGGCTCGAGTTTTAAATTTTGCCAGAATTATTCGGTCGCCATGTGGTTGCCATTCTATGAGCGCTTGTTTAGCTTCTTTGGATAATAGAAAGCCTACTCCACTTTCTCTTTTTTCGCCTGTGGCCTTTCCAGAGTATATGAGTGTAGCGCCGGAGGATGTTTTGTATTCGCCGCAGCCATTCCATCTTACTTCGCTTAGCCCGATGAATAAAAGATTGAGACGTACAAATTCACGTTCAAGTTGAGCAAGTTTTGATGTTTCTGCTAGAGTTCTTATATTCCAGGTTCCGAATCGGCCGCTGAGCCTACACTACGAGCCGAGCAAGCAGGATTTAGGCATAATCGATCATGTGCCGACCACATAAACAGCCTTCGAATAATAGTCGAACAGTCTAGCGAATGGCGATCTCCCCTATACTTGCTGTTTATCGACTTTAAACGTGCATTCGATACACTTCTCCATACCACCATCTGGTATGCATTAGAGTGTAAAGGTATACCGAGTAAATTAATAAATTTAGTAAAAGGCTTGTACTCTGACGCGCACTGCTCAGTACTTCACGAAGGGCGTCTCAGCGGGCAAATCCAAATTAAGTCTGGCGTCCGACAAGGTTGCATTCTTTCACCTATACTATTTAATATAGTCTTAGATGTGGTTATGTCGGAAGCTATGAGCACAAATCATGGCATCTCATTCGGCCTTCATAACAAACTTACTGACCTCGATTACGCTGATGACATCTGTTTACTAACACATAACTTTTCCCAGATGCAAATATCGTTAAACAACATCGCAAAGCGTGCACTGGCAGCTGGTCTGTCAATCAATATCAACAAAACCAAGTCTATGCGTCTCAATTCAAACTGCTCAACGAAGTTTCAACTAGATGGCTCCTACATCGAAGATGTACAAAGTTTCTGCTAACTGGGAAGCTACATTTCGAACAACGGCGGCAGTCGGCAAGACATACAGTACAGGCTATCGAAAGCGAAGCAAGCGTTTGGAACCCTTAACAAAATC